TCAGATTTCATGATGCCTTGCACACAGTCAAGGCACCCAGTGCCAGAGGCAGCAAAACAACCCCAAAACATCATTGAACCTCCACTATTTTACCGTAGGTACTGTGTTTTGTTCTTTGTAGGCCTCATTCCGTTTTCGGTAAACAGTAGAATGATGTGCTTTACCGAAAAGCTCTATCTTGGTCTCATCTGTCCACAAGACGTTTTCCCAGAAGGCTTTTGGCTTACTCAAGTACATTTTGGCAAACTGTAGTCTTGCTTTTTTATGTCTCTGTGTCAGCAGTGGGGTCCTCCTGGGTCTCCTGCCATAGCGTTTCATTTCATTTAAATGTCGACGGATAGTTCGCGCTGACACTGATGCTCCCTGAGCCTGCAGGACAGCTTGAATGTCTTTGGAACATGTTTGGGGCTGCTTATCCACCATCCGGACTATTCTGCGTTGCAATCTTTCATCAATTTTCCTCATCCGTCCACGACCAGGGAGATTAGCTACAGTGCCATGGGTTGCAAACTTCTTGATAATGTTGCGCACTGTGGACAAAGGCAAATCTAGTTCTCTGGAGATGGACTTGTAACCTTGAGATTGTTGATATTTTGCCACAATTTTGGTTCTCAGGTCCTCAGACAGTTCTCGTCTCCTCTTTCTGTTGTCCATGCTTAGTGTGGCACAGACAGACACACAATGCAAAGGTTAAGTGAACGTCTCTCCTTTTTATCTGCTTTCAGGTGTGATTTCTATATTGCCCACACCTGTTACTTGCCCCAGGTGAGTTTACAGGAGCATCACATGCTTGTAACATTCTTATTTATCCGCAGTTGTGAAAGGGTGCCAATACTTTTGTCCAGCCCATTTTTGGAGGTTTGTGTGACATTATGTCGAATTTGCTTTCTTTCCTCCCTTTTTTTGTTTTGTCCCAATACACACAAAGGGAATAAACATGTGTATAGCAAAACATGTGTTAATGCAATACGTTTCGTGAGAAATACATGATTTCCTGGAGAAATATCAAGGGTGCCAACAATTTCGGCCATGACTGTAGGGCAATGTCAGTGGTGTATTTATGTTTTGCGCTGCCCTAGGCAACACAAAAAGTGCCCCCCCCCCTGCACCCCCACTGTCTCTAGTGCAACGTTTGCTGGGCGGAACTTAGTGGTCGGCCACATCGTTCTGTGAAGGTGTCGGTGGTATGAACATTGAGAAGGTGTCATTAGTGGTATAAGTGGCGAGAAGGTGTCAGTTAGTGGTATGAGCAGCTAGAAGGTGTCATTAGTGGTATGAGCGGCTAGAAGGTGTTGTTAGTGGTATGAGCGGCTCGAAGGTGTCATTACTGGTATGAGTGGCTAGAAGGTGTCATTAGTGGTATGAGTGGCAAGAAGGTGTCGTTAGTGGTATGAACGGCGAGACGGTGTCAGTTAGTGGTATGATTGGCGTGAAGGTGTCAGTTAGTGGTATGAGCAGCAAGAAGGTTTCAGTTAGTGCTATGAGTGGCGTGAAGGTGTCAGTTAGTGGTATGAGCGTCGAGGTGGTGGCACTTAGTGGTTTGAGCGTCGAGGTGGTGTCAGTTAGTGGTATGAGTGGTGTGGAGGTGTCAATTAGTGGTATGAGCGGTGTGAAGGTGTCAGTTAGTGGTATGAGCAGCAAGGTGGTGTCACTTAGTGATTTGAGCATCGAGGTGGTGTCATTTAGTGGTTTGAGTTTTGAGGTGGTGTCAGTTAGTGGTATGAGCGGTGTGAAGGTGTCAGTTAGTGGTATATGAGCGGTGTGAAGGTGTCAGTTAGTGGTATGAGCGGTGTGAAGGTGTCAGTTAGTGGTATGAGCGGTGTGAAGGTGTCAGTTAGTGGTATGAGCGGTGTGAAGGTGTCAGTTAGTGGTATGAGCGGTGTGAAGGTGTCAGTTAGTGGTATGAGCGGTGTGAAGGTGTCAGTTAGTGGTATGAGTCAGTCATCTGGCAGTCTCTGGTCAGTCTCTGTCAGCTCTCTGCCCCCCCCCCCCCACAATAGTATACATGGTATACAGAGTAGTAGGATGGAGATCACTCACCAGGCCTGGTGGAGGGGCGGAGACCGAGGGGGGAGCCATGTACTGCCGGTATGTATCCTCCTCACAGCCTCATTTCCCTTCCCTCTCTGTGACAGAGATCCCTGCCTCCTCTGGACGCTGCCGTCCTCCGGGATCATCACTCAGCCCTGGCTCCCTACCGCCATCCACTGTGGAGAGCTCCGACCCTCAGAGCAGCCTACAGCCTGGCTGGGCGCACTGGATGCTGGGAGTTGTAGTCCTTCCCCCGCACACCGGGATTGTAGTTCGCTCCTGTGGAGGCGGGGGAAAGACTACAACTCCCAGCATGCAGTGTGCCCGGCCAGGCTGTAGGCTGCTCTGAGGTTCCTGAGCTCCCGGAGCTCTCCGCAGTGGATGGCGGTGAGAAGCCAGGACTGAGAGATGATCCCGGAGGACGGCAGTGTCCAGGGGAGGCATGATACTCACACTCCTCACTGGATTCCTCTGTTGTAGTGACATCACTTGCCGAGGTGTGGCGCCGCCCCCCTGAAAAGTGCCGCCCTAGGCAAGTGCCTTGTTTGCCTCCTGGCAAATACGCCCATGGGCAATATAGTGCCATACAATAGGGGAATTGAGGGTTTGAGCTTTATTCCTAAAATCTGTTTGGTTGAAGGATTACAAAACAAAGGGAAATTGGTGAAGCTTGTGTTAGGCTTTAACAATGTATGCATGTTTACTGTCTATTGTGAGAAGTTCACTAACATGAACCTGCTTAATCATAAGAACATGATAATAGAGGTTCTCACATTACAGAAGACACCTGACAGGGTAGGTCCTTGTTTGGCCTCTTAAATCCTTCTGCTCCATCCCTTGGAATGGACGCAGGAATGCAGAATGTGTCATCATGAAGGCATGTGGTTTTGTCCTGGACTTGCGGTGGTATTTCATTGCTGTCATGGATGGGACTGAAGGTACAAAACATTTCTGTATAAGACCAGAGTTCTTCAATATAGTCCTTTGTAATGACTCAGTGATTTCTGTAGAGTAATCCAGTTAGTGGAGGTTCAGTGATTTTGTTTTGGATGTAACTTCCCACTCATCTGGCTTTGATCTGTAGTGGGAGGCGAAGTTGTGAAGACGTGAATACTGTACGTACCACATCTGATGTGCATGGTTTGTTTACACACGTAGCCCTCATCTTTCTATAATCGGCTCGGCAGCTAGTTATGGATCAGAAATAGCTGCTTTCGCAGGCATTACTGCAGAAGTGAGTCAGGATTCCTTACGAGAATAAAGACATACAGCTATCCAGCAAAACACAGACTGCCCCATGGGACATGGACAATATTTTTTAGCATATCTGTAACAGGAATTAGTGCTGTGAAAGATGTCATGCTAAACTAAGCACACGTGGATGGTTCGCTCCTGTGTACAGGCTTTCGCACCTTTTGTCACCAGCCATGATGATAATCACATTGCATTAGGATGATGATCCCAACTGTCTCGTTTTGGATGGGCTGTCTCTGCTTTGGAACATGATCACCTCATCCCTCTTTCCTCCTTGCTTGTCCCCCATATTGTTCTGATATATATATACACTCACTGGCCACTTTATTAGGTATACCTGTTCAATTGCCTGGTAACACAAATTGCTAATCAGCCAATCACATGGCAGCAAACATTTAGGCATCAGTGAAGATGACTTGCTGAAGTTTAAACTGAGCATCAGAATGGGAAAGAAAGGGGATTTAAGTGACTTTTAACATGGCATGGTTGTTGGTGCCAGACAGGCTGGTCGGAGTATTTCAAAACTGCTGATCTACTGGGATTTTCACGCACAGTCATCTCTAGGGTTTAAAGAGAATGGTCCAAAAAAAGAGAAAATATCCAGTGAGCTTCAGTTGTGTTAACGAAAATGCCTTGTTGATGTGAGAGATCAGAGGAGAATAAGACAGACTGGTTGCTGCGACATTCAGATGGTAGGGTTAGAATTTGGAGTAAACAACATGAAGGCATGGATCCATCCTGCCTTTTATCAACCGTTCAGGCTGGTGGTGTAATGGTGTGGGGGATATTTTCTTGGCACTAGCAAGATTTACCTAATAAAGTGGCATGCCTATACATACTGTATATATAGACCCCCGTGATGAAAACTTACCATTTACCAAAATCGTTATATTAAACTAACCTTCCAGCTTCTAAATTATTTCATTTAATGTTTTTGAGAAGCCACTAAAAGGTATGTAAAAAAAAGTAGTAGAATTAAAGCTGAACTCCAGGAAAAAATAATTTTGGGCAAATAATAAATAAATTAGCTCTGTCGATGCCTATGCCACATTTGGCTGCTTCTCTGTTCTGTAAAACTGTTACATTCATTCACCCCCATTGTACTGTAAATGCTGAACGTCTGGTAACTTGAAGTTCCAGCTGCAGTACATTGATGGTAGAAGGTCGCTCATTGTACATCTCCTCTATCCAGAAAAGGCCTCGTATTCTTTTCACTGGACACAAGGCTTTCTCTAATTGAAGGAGGGGCAAATGGGCGTCACAGTCTCCCATCCTCCAGTCACAGAAAGCTTTACATTCAGTGAAAATAGTTGATGGAATGGAGGCGATCTGCCAGTACTTTTGCCAGAATTTCAAGTCTCAGTGCCGGACATTTTGCACTTACAGTATTGTGGGGGCCACATGAAAGTTCAGCTATAAAAGAGTAAAGCCAACATTTTTATTTTAGTTTTGGATGCAGTAGGAAAAGATAAGGTTTTGATTGCTGTCTGTATCTCATTTTCTTTGTCCTGTTAACCATTGTCACAAATACATAAAGGGGTTAATTTATTAAAGGCAAATAGACTGTGCTCTTTGGAAGTGCAGTTTCTCCAGAGCTTTGTAAATTTGGCAAAGCTTCAGTTTGTAAATAATACCCAATCACATACAAGGGGGAAAACAAAAACATGGTTTGCTTGTACATTGGATGATGAAAGTCAGCAGCATTTTCCCTCATTTACTAAGCTCTGGAGCAGGGGCAGACTGACCATTTAGGAACTCAGGCACTGCCCGAGGGCCCAGGGTCAGTAGGGGGCCCCATAAGATGCCCCTGGTACCTTTCATAGGCTTTTTTGGGTGTGATTTGAGTGTGGGCAAGGACACAAGGGCCCCATGATCCCCTATTGCCCGGGGGCCCCATGAGTTGTCAGTTTGCCCCTGCTCTGGAGCGACTACTCTTGCAATGTACATAGTCTGTCTGCCTTCAGTAAATCAACCCCTAAATGAACAGAAATCCATCATGTTAATGAAGGTTACTCTTTATGTTGGGACAACTGGCTAAGAGAGGAATACCCCTTACTATGTACAGATTTCCTATCACTACCTTTTGCATGACAGGAAGTGAAGGGAGATCTGAATACTTTTTGTTTTTTTAATGGTTGAACTGGATGGACTTTTGTCTTTTTTTCAGCCAGACTAACTATGTAGCTATGAATGAGGCACAGCAAAATTACACTGAAACCAAAAAAACACATTAGTTAGGTTTCAAAAAGACGCAGCCAATTCAACCATATATATTCCTTGTAAATAACAGTGAACAAGCTTACTGAAGGGTAACCCCTTCCAATATATAACAGGGGGTTAAAAGGTTTACATTTTATTGCAAATATGGTAAAAAAAACATTTTTACGAAGTCCAACAAAAATATTTTTTTATTTTCAGAGCTTACAATTCAGCTTACTTACAGCTTACTGTATATTACAATTGATTTTGTAGAGTGCGCCTTGTTTGTATGTTTTGCCTTCCAGCTGAGAATAGAGCATCTCACAATACCATTGTTCAATTACTGGCAAGAGATACATGGTAATATATTGCACCTGTGTTATAATTATAGGACGCTGACAGTTCTAACATGCCTTTGTTAATACTTCATGTTTGAGTACGGCAGAGTTCCATTAGCAATTTTATGTTTTTTAATTATTCATGACCCAGCTTGGCCTATTTTACTGTTCTCAAAGTTTTGTGGCTAGAGATGCCAGAACCTACTTTATTAAGAAGTATGATTTCCTGAACTAATTGCCCTATAAAAAGTAATGAGACTATTAACCCCCAGCTGTGCTGTGACACAATAGATACTCATTGTGAAACCTTAAAACAAGCGGCTGGATTGTGAATGGGGTCAGACCAGGACCATTGTAAAACATCAGTGGGCTCCGGGCAAATGGCTTGTAGATGGTCCCTCATCCTGTCTTTGTATTCCACCATTGCCAAAAAGCATGCCGGCAACAAATATAAATACAGAGAAAAAGGACTATGGACTTTGTGAAGCAAGTTCCAGCATTATTATTATTATTATTATACAGTATTTTATAAAGCGCCAATAGTTCACTCAGCGCTGTACATTACAAAGGGGGACAGCATGCATATTTATTTTTCTCTCTCCAGTGCTATGTACAAGGGAGGTCAGGAAATACACAGTTTTGAATGTATGTTGGTAATCCAGTGTTTTTTTTTGTTTGTGGTTTTTTTTTTATGTATATGTAACAGTCCTCCACTTTAATAGACCTTAAATATCAGGAACCTGGCATACAGACCTCCATGTAACACCTATCAAACCTGTATCCAAGAGCTCTAGCAACTCCTCTCAAAGCGAGGACATTATGTCAGTCTTCACTCTGAAAGGAAGTAAAAATAAAAATGAGTGCGCTGTACACTAATAATATCCTGACACAATAAATAAAAATTGACCATAAATTCAAGCTCACATGTGTACAAAAATCAACATATAAAGTGCTATAAATCAATGTTCATGACACAAAAATACATAACGAGTCCCAAATCCAATGTGGAAGAAGGAAAAGTGCTGCGTGCTGAATATAATTTCCAGCAGTGTGCTATGGTGTTCACAAGTGCTCTCTACACCAAACAGATCAGCCTCTTACCAGACCATATTGATCTCAAATCAAGAGATCAAATGAGCAGATAGTGTCCCGATTCCACACTGACACTCATATTATCAATTTCAAAGGAGATGGATGGACAGCTGTGGGCTCACCCAGACTGATTCCTCACACCAAACTACTCTCCATACAATGTAGAGAAGGGTTAAAACAGAAGAGACTTCATAGTGTAACCCAATAAAAATCAAGGTTTATTTAATAAAACGTTGCACTTACATAGATAAGGTGCATGAAGGCAATATACAAATTCAAAACAGCCATGGTGTGATTCCGACAGCCGGAATGTGGTGACGTCACAGAAGACTGCCCAGGGCGTTTCTCCACAACTGGCGTCCTCTGGGATTGGCAGAATGACACCGCGGCTGTTTTATTTTTGTATATTGCCTTCATGCACCTTATCTATATAAGTGCAATGGTCATTTGTTCCCCATCCATCTTGCAGATTGCATCAGATGACAATCAGATGAAAATGAACAGGCGGACCATTTATATTCAACCACCCCGTAGAGAACAGCAGGCTGTGTCTGTGTCCACTCCGCTTGTGTAGTCCTGCCTGAGTCCGCCCATGTGAAAGCATCTTTCAACTCACTTTGTCTGAGCTCAGGCTGTCCTGAATCCAACCCAGCCTGTGACTGGACTATGAAAAAGAATCAGCACAGTGATGGGCTAATCCCTTTGTCACTTTGACACCAGGTTGCGTTTGAGGAATTAGACCAGGGTTTTTCAACTAGGGTTCCAGCAAACCCTAGGGCTCCTCCAGAGATTGTTAGGAGTTCCTTGAGCAATGAGCAATTTCTGCCCCTCAGATAAGTTCCCACTGGCACCATTGATCCTTTCAGCTATCCGTAAGGGGTAATTCTTCCCAATGACCACAAGTGTGAGGAGCATTCTTCCCCCTGACCATCACACTAAGTTATCATGAGTTGCAAATATACGTAGTAATTTTTAACAGGGGTTCCCTGAAACCGGAAAGGTATTTCAAGGTTTCCTCTGTGTTGAAAAGGTTGAGAAAGGCTGTATTGGACTATTAAGAATAAATAAGCACTGAATATCAAACACCACAAAGTTTTGTATCTGTTTTGAGGTATGGGATAGCCCTATCCCTTCCCACTATGCTTTGCCTGGTGCTTGAGCAACCCATAGCCAGAAAAAACATAAAACAAAGAGGTTGCACATGCATAGCGCATTATCTTTGGACACTTTATTGAATGATATATATAGAGGTTATACTCACAAACCAAGTGACCTTAAAGGCATGTAGGCTCTGAGCCTAGCTCTGAAGAAGGGGGACAGGTCCCCGAAACGCATCAGTTTGTTTATATCCTGCAATAAAGTGTCTGAAGATAATACACTAGACGAGTGCACCCTCCCTGTTTTATGTTTTTGCTAGTGTTGGATCTCCCCAGTCTGAGGAGGGCTGCACCTTCCATTTTTTTTCTGTCTCAGTTGTGAAGGGACTGTATTACCATTGGCCTACGCTAGGATTGCCTCTATCCATTTTCGAGCACAATAGTGTCAATTTTTTTTCCTTTCTCTTTGTGAACCTATAGCCAGACATGTCTTTAGAAAGTGGATGTTTGTAGGGAACTTCAGTGGCACCAGCAGAATATGTAGAAGGGCACTCACTTCTATGCAAAAAACTTACAGCATACTCTATTTGTAGAACATTCTTGCCATTTCTCTACATCCCTGTACTTAAGAAGACCTAGAAGAGACATGTTTAGTTGGGAGGAGCTTGACTACCATATTTGCCCTGAAACTGATTGGAACAATAGACGAGGGGAGCCATTCAAGTACACATTGCGACTTCTCTTTCTCCAGTCTCGGAATAAGAGTTTTGGGTGGACCTTGGTTCTAATTATAAATAAATATAAATGTTTGTTAATCACAATTTGTATAATTTCTGACAACAAAGAATATGAATCCTAAGTAATACATAATTGTCTGCTAAATAATTTGAATAGTACATTTCAAACATTTCCTAAAAATTGGCATCCTTTGCCAGTTGGCATAGCGATTATGTTTAATTAGACCAATATATAATTATAACCAGATGTCCCACATACTTCTGTCTTAAGAAATTAATGCCTGGCAGCGAGACAAGCAGAGCTGTCACCGTGTTGCATGGAGACAGTGAGAACTGTGTCAATCCAACGTTTCAAGGGTACCTGTCACTACTGAAGACTTTCCAAAAGAATATAGTTTTTACAGTGCCGTTTTGTGAAGGATGATGATGCTATTTGTACAGATAAGCATGTTTTTCCATGGATAAAGTGTCGCTGTGCTAGAATTGTAAGTACTGTATACACTATGGGGTCCAAACCCAGACCTGGGGACTTTCATAATTTTGGGTTATGCATTGTACACAGCATGTAATAAATTTTGAATGGGGATTATTGGAATGGAAAAGCTTAAAGAGGCCCTGTCGCAAGACCATTTATTTCAGCAACACTCTTCCCATAGGATTATATGTGCATTTAAAGCGACACTAAACAATATCCTTATATTTAAAAAATTATACATACGCATCCACTACTTAACCACTTACCCTCCAGAGAATTTTCCCCCCTTCCTGACCAGGCCATTTTTTTTTGCGACACGGCGCTGCATTACTTTAACTGACAATTGCGCGGTCATTCAAATCTGCATCCAAATGAAATTTGTGTTCATTTTTTCCCACAAATAGAGCTTTCTTTCAGTGGTATTTGATCTCCTGTGTGTTTTTTATTTTTTGCGCTATAACCAAAAAAATTACCGAGAATTTTGAGAACAAAAACAATATTTTTGACTTTTTGCTATTAAACTTGTCCAGTAAAAAAAAATTAAAAAAATCAAATTTCGTTATAAATTTAGGTCAAAATGTATCTGCTACATGTCTTTGCTTAAAAAAAATCCCAATACCTGTAAATTAATTGGTTTCCGTGAAAGTTATAGCATTTACAAATGGCGGTATTTATTTATTTTTTACTAGTAATGGCGCTGATCACCTATAGCGGGACTGCGGCAGGCATTCTGACACTAGGGAGAACTGACTTGGTGTCACTGACATCCCCAGTGACACCAATACAGTGATCAGTGCTAATAAAAAGCACTGACACTGTACTAATGACACTGGGCAGGAAGGGGTTAACATCTGGGGCGATCAAAGGGTTAACTGTGTGCTGTGTCACTATTTTGTCTGTGTGTGTGTGCTTTACTGTAAGCATGTAAGCTATGCAGAACCATACAAAGCAGTGTGCAGGAGCTGACAGGGGAGAGATCTGTGTTGTTCATACACAGGTCTCTCCCCCGTCAGAGATACTCGGCGATCACCAGGTACCGGCGAATAATCACCCGGGACCCATTGATTGATAGCCGAGGCTGCGCACGGCCCAAACCCAGAACTGCAAAATCACATATATATATATGTGATTTTTGCGCACCCGTGCCGCCCTGTAGCAGTATTTCTGCAATAGGGTGGCACAGAAAAGGTTAAAGCAGGACTCCCTGTCCTTTACAGCCAAGGAAGCTGCTATTTTAGACTTTATTTGATCTGCAGTTGCCATGGTGCTGCACATGTATACAGGTATGACACCAGCCATTAAAGGGCTTGATAGTTTAGTTGATAGCGCAAGCAACTGTGACAGTTATCATTCACATCATGCCTTGAATACAACTCCTGGGAAACAGCTAAACCAATGGGTTTATTTCCAGTTTAATGATCCTGTAATCTGTTTTTTCACGAAATAGTTTCTTGCTGTGTTTTTCTGCCTCCTTGTAATGTCCTCCATGAGCTCCCGAACCTTTCCTATCCTTCTCACCTTTGTTTGGACTGAGCAGTGCCCATTACTTGTGGTCATGTGCACTGCTCTATGCACACTACAAGTCCCATAGTTCATCGGACATCTCGGGAGCAAGCACACATACCATGGAGAGTGAACATAGCCAGGAAGTTAGATTGCAGCACCAAAAAAAAAGAAAAGACATTTGGAGGAGACTATAAACAATAGAAAGGTACTTTTTTGAGTTACCAATATAAAATTGAATGGAATTGCTTCTTTTAAACATGTTATTTTACATGTTATTTACCTGTAAAGGCCTTGTTTATGTAGATATCCAAAGGCTCCAGACTGCTGCTGTGCGCCACTGTATTGAATGTGATGTCAGCAGCCCCAGCAGACTCTCAGGTGTCACTCATGACACTCTATAGCATTTCTAATTGTTCCTTCCCTTTGCATCTATAAAAGAAGCTGAAAACAAGGAACACCGTCACCTAAGTGTAGATATATTAGTACAAATGCCAGTAAAATTTTAAAAATGCACTCACATTTACTGATGAATTACAAGCATATCATCCACTGTATAGGGCTGCAGAGCATGGCAGGATCACGGCTAGGCAGGCAGTGCTGGAATCGAGGGAGCACTGGACCGATGTACAGGGTGATGTGGATGCTGCAATGAACCAATACATGGATCGGATGGCAGCTGCGGCTTGAGGCACTATCCAGGGTCAGTGTTTGAGCGCGCCACCCGTGGAGTCAGGATCAGAGCAGAGGTGCAAGGATTATTGGTGGACTGTCAGTAGGATGAAGTGGGGGCGTGGTTACATGTTTCGGGGCAACAAGGTCTGTCCCTTTGCCAAACCTCCTTCTACTTTCCTTCACTGGCTTCCCGTGACATAAAAAGCTATTTAGGAAGGTGATGGGAGGGCCGAAGGAGCTGGGCCAACATGGATGCACTCAATAGAAGGCTATGATGTGTTAAGAGGAAGAAGGCTGTTCTAGGTAAAAAGTCACCCTGTAGTCTTCCAGTTTTCTAGTAACTTCAGAGGTATATTGTCATATGTATGCCATATGACAATCCGGTGTTTAAGTGGATGCACCAAGATGATACCTGCAGCTACAGGCAAACTTTTAAGCTGGCGATGTGGTTTTGTGTATAAGTGATTAGAGTGGCTATACAGCCACTCAATCACTTCTACAGGTGGCGGAAGAGGATGCCCCCCCCCCCTTTCATCACCTCCTTTCCAAGGCACTCCCATCCCATCAGGGAGCCCTGGACCACTGCATCCAGCAGCATCCTGTGCACTGCACAGAGAGAGAGGAACTGATGTTGTTCTTCTCTCTCTGAGGGATCGGAAACCGTAAATGAGAATTTTGTCGCTTCCAGTAAAGCAGCCAATCAGACCGATCTGTGTCTGATTGGATGCTGCACTTGTCACGGCCCACGCTATCACAAAGGATGTTGTTCATTCCTTGTGATAGCAATAAATAATAAAAAAAAAAATAACAAATAAAGGGACAGTGTAAAAAAAAAAGTTTTAAATAAAATACATTTTTTTAAATTTTAATAACCCCCCCCCCCCCCCCCCCATCTCCCCGTGCTCACATGCGAATGAGAATGCTTACGTCCGGCACGCATATGTAAATAGAGATTGCAGCACACGTGAAATATCATTGCGAATGTCAGAGCAAGAGCAATAATTCCAGCACCAGCCCTCCTGTGTAACTCAAAACTAGATGTAATTGTATCTGTTTACTCAGCATAACATAATCTTTTATATTTTAGAAAAAAAATGGGGTATTATATTGTGTTTGTATGCAATAAAACCCATTAAAGTGCATTTTCCCCCAAAAAATCTGTATTTGAAATACCACTGTGCAAATACCGTTCAACATAAAACATTGCAACACCAGCCATTTTATTCTCTAGGGCCTCTGCAAAAAAAATATATAATGTTTAGGGGTTCTAAGTAATTTTCTATAAAAAATGCAGATTTTTACATGTGTCAGAATTGGCCCTCTAAGCAAGTGGCTAAAGAGAACCAGTCACTCTGCCCATTGAGATCAAAGCAACAAGCTCTCTTGAAGATTCACACCTCCCCTTCAACCTACCCATTTATGTTCATCTTCAGTTAATTCTACTGCTGCTGCATTCCTCTGGAAAAGCTGTAAGAAATATCAGGTGGTTCTCCATTTTCCAGGATGCATTGCACAGGTTTGAGTTGTCACATGAGGGAGGGGAACAGGTTACTTACCATGTGTAAACTCTGACATTGTCCCATACAGGGATTAGACTCATGGGTGAGCTTTGAAGAGAAGTCATTTTGTTCTAAATGTGCAAAGTGACAAATTATTATTAATCCCCCTGGCTGTATTCCCGAGTGTAGCTCGGGATTAACTTTCAGTACCAAAAGCGGTAACCCCGAGCTACACCCGGGATTAAACTGCAGCGTTGCTCTGGGATCCCTTCTGCACTTACCTTGTCCTGCACTCCCACGCTGTCCCCCCTGCAGCATCTCCAGACATCTCCGGCCGATGTCGGCGTCTGTCTTCCGGGTTCTGTTCCCTGCGAGCGTCGGGACGTACGGGACATACGGGGGACGGAACCGGCGGGAATTTAAAAATGTTAAAAAGTGACATTCACTCTATACACTAAAATCTGATAGTATTACATTACTGTATCAAAGCATTTCACATACATTTTGTCCCGAGTCCTTTGTCCTGTGCCCTGCCTGCATTTTTACCGTCCTTTCTGCCTGGAAACTGAGAAATGTCCATGGCATCCAAAAAGCGTCCCTTTAGGTCAAAAGCAGTTTTAGACCAGCTAGAGAACAGTGATAGTAAATCAGAACCACTTGCAGAATTGAATGATAATGATTCGTGGGGAAATTCATCATCAGACACTGAAAACGATTCTGCGACTTTGCTCAGTGATGTGTGAACTTGGCGCTATATTTCACATTTCAGTGTTTTTGGTTTGATTATATTATTGAATTAAATGTATTATTATTATATTATTATTTTTTTGTGATTATTTATTATATTATTATTTATAATTTCGTGTTTCACATTTTATCAATACCCGGGATGTTTACTAGACTCTTGTTCGGACAGATTTCAGTGAGTTATTCCTAAAAACGACAGGCCTACAATAAAAAACATATTTCCATGCAAAACAATGTACCGCTTTCAGCACAGAAATATGGACATAATCAGACCGCTAGGGAGGTTAAAAGAGCCAATTGTGTTAAGACAGTTTGTTTAAAATTTCAGTAACTTGGTATCCCATCTAAACAAACAAAAGATTTCCCAGCACACTTACCGACCATCCTGCAAAACAACTGAATTAACCCTGTCCAACAGTTTCCGTTAAAAAACAGAGGATTTTGTTTGCACACATTTGCAAATATATGCGGGAGCCACAGTGCCCAAGGGACCACTGTATATACTGTAGTCCTAACTGTAAATTGCCAGAGCCTCCATAGTAGGAGCACATATAGGAATGGATAGATTAGGGGCAGGTGTGCCTCCTCCTTAAAGGTACAGGGATGCATGTGACGCCCAGCAAGAGCACAATGGCAACAAAGGCATCCCATGTGTCCCTGCACCCAATTCGTCCAACTGCACAAGAAAATGGCAACCACCCCTATCTATAACTGGCCTTTGCAGCAAGGTGCACATGGAAGGGCAATGCGCAGCATAAACAAACAAAAGATTTCCCAGCACACTTACCAACCAGACTGCAAAACAACTGAATTGGTCCTGTCTAACAGTTTGTGTTAAAAACAGAGGGTTTTGTTTGCACACATTTGCAAATATATGTGTAAGCCACAGTGCCCGTGCCAAGGGCACCCCATTTTATTTCCACCATACTCCCAAGAGACTGTCACGCATGCTGGGAAGTAGATTCTGATTGATTGCGCTTGGTATTAGCTTAAATCAGGAAAAAGGCAGCCTTGTTTTTTTTATTGCGAGCTCTAGAATAGTAGCCTATGGGACGCCTATATGTAACGCACATAAGATCCCCTCTGGTTTTAATTTCCCTGATTATAATCATGTCAGAGTCAAAGTGATGCAATGATCCATTTGGATCTAGGGTAGCAATAATGCTATAAGAAAACTATGACCTGCAATCTTATAACCTGGATCTTCTGGATTGCTGGGCCCCTCTATAATGTGCTATGTTTCTAGTTACACACTTCACTGACAGTTTATCCACATATGTGACAGTTACTAGTCATTTATTTTCTGCTTCAGAAGGCTGTGATATTAATTGTAGACACTTTCAGTGTTGTGTGACAGATATGCCTTCATTTCCCTGTATGTTTAGTTAGATTGTCATGGGCAGTTCAGCTCACAGCCAGGGTCTCTGGGAAGTCCTAGACATTTCACAATCAGGGGTGCAAAGATAGAACACTTATGACCGGGTCAATGGCTTGTAGCAGATTTCTAAGAATTTGTTGAGTTATCTTA